TTTCCGGTTTAAAGTCAGATTGCTAATGCTTCCTGTGCAGGAGGCTGTTTTTCTATGCAGCTTAGTAGGTGACAAATTTAATAGGAAATGATTAAGTAAAAGCACAGAGTGTTGATAAGGGATTTATTCTTCTTCAGGGCTTTTGATAATTTGTTTTCAGAAAATAATACAGTCTTTAAGGAATTTATACACATCTTCAGCCTCCGTCAAGGCTGCTGCAGAATTTCCTGTTTTTGTGTTCTCAGAACTGCTAAACTGCTGAAGTTGCCAGTAAAGTCATGGGTGTGTTATCCAGAAGAGGTGGAGTCTATAGCAAATCCAGATTCTTCACTGATATCCTCAAATGAGTATACAGAAATTAGAGCTATTCCATCTCTAACCTCACAAATGGAGTCGCTTCCCGCAGCCACAACTCATCTGTACATTAACCCTGTCTGGTTTTCTCCTGTTGTGCTATCTTTTCTGTGTATGAAACCATGGATTTTGTTGCACAAGTTGCCTCAAAGCCAGCTATAAACATTTACATATGAAAAGGTATTAAGGTAGTCTTAAAACGTGTTCTACGCCCTGGGTGCAGAGCTAGCAATGTGAAACACACATACCCTGGAAATGGCTTTGTACTCCCTCAGATGTTAGATCCTGGTCTCACTGTGAGCAGACCTCTCCTAAAGCAAAGAAACTCATATTTACAAGGGGCAAGATCCTAATCAGATTCCCAACTGGAAAGCTGCTCCAGCTTAACACCAGGCTGAGGGTAGATACAGGCATGGCATGGTCAAAAAGGAGAAAGTCTGTACTTTCTAGATACGCTCAGAGGTGTTTATTGCTCTGCAAACCTCCCTGGGAATGCTAATACAGCGTGATTGATGGATGCACACAATTCAACAGGACAAATGCTTTCAGCAGACAGGTGGCCCAACTGGAACCTCTGAAGATCCTATTATGGAGGAATGAGACTGTAATTATGATATTTTCGGGCATATATTCTGCAGGAGCTGGGACCTGCAGAAACTCCTCGGCAGTCCCCCCACTTTGGCCGGGGCAGGAGCAGCTGGTGGAAGCGGCCAAGGGGACCTGAAAGCATGTGGAGCAGGTCATGGGAGCGAGGTGTGGTGCCTGCCCACACAAACAGCCGGCGCTGCTCTGGCACCAGCCTTCAAAGCAATGCTTCAGCCCCCACTGGTCGCATGCAGCGAGGTCTCTTTCTTTTTGCAACCCACCAAGCGATGCCTTACACTTTGTGGCCATTTTGCAGCCGCCAACAGGCCTTGTCCCAGCACTCCCGCCAGAGAAAAGCCAGGCGGGGTCACGGCAGCCATCACAAATCTAACTGTCCCCGAGCACAGACACGGGCAAGGCCCTCAGCACTGCCTCAGTTTCCCTCCATCCCCTAAAACGTGGGGGGAAGTGTGACAACTCTGCCAGTCCCCCTCCCCACCCTGGCGATGGGGACAGGCGACCTCGGGCCAGGTGGTCAGCTGGACGTGGAGACAGGCCTGGCCATGGAGATGGGCCTGGCGATGGAGACAGGCTTGGCCATGGAGACAAGCTTGGCCATGGAGACAGGCCTGGCCATGGAGATGGGCCTGGCGATGGAGACAGGCTTGGCCATGGAGACAAGCTTGGCCATGGAGACAGGCCTGGCCATGGAGATGGGCCTGGTGATGGAGACAGGCCTGGCCAGGCCTTGCTGCAGCTGCCCTGGCCGTGGCCTCCAGCAGGGCCCCCTCAGAGCCACCCGCTCCGAGACAGGCACAAGACAACCAGAGGACAGGGCAGGCCAAAAACCACCAGGCTTTTGGGGTTTTTTTTAGGCAAGGGTCTGTAGACAATGCTTACACCAAATAAATAATAGCTGCTAAAGTGCAATTACCTGTTTTGTGGGTGCTGGTACTTAGCTGCTGGTTACGCGCAGAATTAATGGGCGGACTGTTTGATACCGGAAATCACATTGTTCGCTCGGGCTGTGCATTGTAAGAGTCAGCACAGGGCAGTTTTGCCAGGAGTTATCCATAAAAACCTTCTTGAAATGCAGCAGAGTTAAACATCTGGACAGCTTCCAGAGAAGAACAATTGAGCTTGGATATACTTTCGTGGGAGATAATTTCCTTTCAGGCTACGAAAACCTGCAGCACCCAACCTGCTGTGAAAGCTGCTTGCTTCTCCGCGCTTCGATGGCGAGCTTGGCTCACTGAGGGCTCATCCTGCAGACAGCGGGACGTGTGCGGCAGAGCCCTGAACCTCACCCAGGAACGTGCTCTTTTAAGGTGCAGGGGGAATAAACATCTGTCTGTTGGAGGGAAGCATTTCTTACACAGAAAGTAGCAATTTTAATCCGTTCCCTGGGTTTTTTATATTTATGAGATTGCTTTAGCCTCTTAAAATTCTTCCAAAATGCCTGCATGAAACACACCTTAAGATCCTTGAAGCAGTCCGATCTGCTTCAGTTCCCCTCAAAAGATCCTATGCATAAAACCAGAGCTTATTTGTTGACAACAGAGTCTAAATGCAACGTACGTATTGCTTTGGCTGCTCTTTTTCCTTTGTCTTGGTTTGCAGCCTCTTCCAAAGCTTTGATTTCCAAATGACTTGTTAAGCTTTACCGGGCCTGAACATAAAAGCTGTACTTTTATGTTTCTTATATGGCATGTGGAATGCGGAAGCTCAACTTAACTGTGGATGCATCTCCTAAGACCTTTCTTCCTCTTGGGGCTCCATGTGTTGCTGCTTTATGAGAAGGCTGACTCGCTTCTTCAAAGCTTGTGTTGTTCCTGTTATCAGAGAGGAATCAAACAAAACGGGGAGTTTCTATGTGGGAGGCAGTGCCAACACTAACCGTTATTTCATCTGCAATAATAGCTCCGTGGCATAAGGGGCACCCACAGCCAAACTTACTGTTTTTCTTGTTTTTCTGCCAAGAGGATTTCCTGATTCCTGAAATTAGCCCCATTGCCAAGAGATACGGTCAAATCACATGGTCAGCAGTCCTAATTGCCTCGGGAATACAGAATTCAATCAATGCAGACCTGCTCCTAAACTGTGGACTAAGGAAGAGTTGTTCTTTTCCACAGAAGGCCTGATCTATCCATAATATAATATTAATATCTACACTGTCTAGAATATAAGAATATATATATACAGTCTATAATATAATTAATTACCCAGAGCATATTTTTATTTGAAAATTGCTTAAATACTGTTCTAATACAGAGGCAATTATAGCAGTATGAAGTCAGCAAATAGCATGATAGCTTATTCCTTTTTTCTGATAACACTATGCTGACATCTGGCACTTTCATACCAGCGTGTAACCATGGTGGTTGTCTCACTGTATGTAGCTTGATATGCCTTGATTTAATTAAAGCTGTATACTGTTGTAGTGTAGACAAAGCCTAAGACTTTTCTGTGGAGCAAAGCTGGATATAACAAGCCCAATTCTCTCATGCTGCCATAAATGAGGATGCACAGAAGTCACTGGTCCTACACAGATGTAGAAGTAGGTCGTTACGAATCAGGTTTGAAATCTGTAAGCAGTCACTCTTGATTGATATCACTTTATATGGCATCAAAGGCCCATTGTGCTAGGGAGGAGAACAGAAAGTACTATTATAACTAAAGGACCTTTTGTCTGTGCTCTCTGTGCATAGAACCAGTGGCAAGTTTTGGTCGTCTGCCACAAGTCCACAGGTTTGCAGAGGCCGGTGCAAAAATACTGCCTACCTACAATGGCTTGTATGGAGAAATAAGGCTCTTTTGCCTCTGTCTTCTATGACTAGTTAGAAATGTAATTCTGCAGATTTTACAGGATTCTCACTTGATTTCCAGTTATAATCTTTAGTCAAATAAAGAACGAATGACAGCTATTCACTCTGCAGGCAGGGCTTTTATGTGTTGATTTATGCCTTAATGTCACATCAATCGTCAGAAAACAGGGATGTAAATAACAAACTTTGTTTTAAGATTAAAGCAGCAAATGATTTTTTTGAAAGGATGAATATTTGTTTATTTAATCATAAGGAGGTCAAAATATACAGCACTGTATTGTTCAGATGCTAGTGTGGATTAAAATGTCAGGCCCGTGGTTGCCCGTCCAGGTTAGCCCAGGGTTGAATAAACCACAGAAATCTTAATTTTCTGTAAAATTTATTAACTACAGTTGTTACAGGAGTCTTGTGAAGCAGGGAGGTGCCTGGACAGCCTTGATTTTCGTTTTTATTAGGATTAATTACAAGTATGGATATAAACAAATAGCTGATGAAACAACTAAGTTTCCTATCATCTGCAAAACATTAATAACAGGATTGTAGGTACAGCCTTGGAGTTAGGACTACGGTGGGGACGCGGGTGCCCCCTTGTGTTCCTATTAGAACCTTAAATAGTTTTTAATTTGTTATCCCACCTCACCAAGACAAGAGAAGTTGTCTCAATCATGTAAAGCTTTTGCATTTTAGCGTTTTAATCTACATTAATAACCAATATGAAGCATAACTTTATAACCAGTGATTCTATTATACTGCAGACTTCTTGCTAATTTCAGCTCTACTGAAAACCACAAAAGGTGACTTGGTTGTTTTTACATTTAAGTATAACATTTATCAAAGGAGATTTTTTTTTTCCTGGCTGCTTTAAAGCTCTCTAAAGCTGAGGATTTGTTGCTCATGCCTTGCTGCACAAACTGCATTCCTTTGTCACATGCATTTTTTTCTGCTATTTATTTAATTCACTGCCACTTTCTTACCTTACATACGCTACCCTCTATAGACTTAAAATCATCCACATGACCTTTCTTTAAATATACTACACATTGCTTGATGATCTTTAGAGTTGCTTTCTGACATCTAATGAACAAACCCTGCAAACGATATACCTTAAATGATACGCCAATGTTTGCTTTAGCCTCAGGCATTTGATGACAGCCATGTAAAGGAAAATAACGAGTCATCTCTACTGCAAGGGAGCTTACAGAGAGCTGCTAATCCTTCAGCAGCCACATGTATTCGTTACTTGGATTTCCCAGCAGGTAGGATAGACACTGGATCTGTTTGCACTTCCGCATCAGACATCCTTTTGGAGCCCTGTAGAATAAAATAATAGAAATTTATAAAAATTTTCAAATATTTCAGAACAGTTAAGTCTGGGATTATGTGTCAGAGTTTTTCTAGCAGATATTTTCCACTCATTTAAACTCTCTGCTTTTCTTAATTTGGCCTTTATTTAATATGCATAGGTATATGAGCACCATCTGTATCGTGACAATCCCAGAAAGCTACTGCTTGTGACTTTGCCTGAACATGTTGGTTATTTTAATATAATTTTCCCAGTCAGCATGGAAAGAAATTGTCTTTAGAAACCGGGCTAACGTACCAGAGACATGTTGCTGTGTACTTGTAGTATTGTAGTTTTGGCATAACTTTCTCTAAAATTTCCCTGGCCTAAACGGTTCACTGAAACCATGCTAAGAGTCCTTCAAGCATGATTAATAGTGTATTATAGCTAGCCTTGGTCTGCTCTAAGTTAAAGGAACATTAAATACTTTCATGCATGACAGGTATTTGACAATGTTAGAGTGATAAAGCTTTTTTACGCTACAAATATCATTCTGGTTTTGGAACCAGTTCAAGACACTAATCCGATTTAGATGGAAGAAATGCATAGATCTAGCTATACCAACTAAATTTTTGACTAGTAATTGATAAAAACTTGGCTGTAGTTTAAGATGCCTTGACCTGATTTTACTGGCCTTGAAGCCATCAAAGCTTCAGAACGTAACAGCAAAATGGACCCACAAACACTGTTTCAGAGGTCACTGTTAACATTGCGTAGAATGCCAATCCTGTTTGTAGCTGGATGCCTAAATCATTACATGCTAAACAGAAAAAACAGCATGACAAAGCTAAAGGTGACTGCTACGTGCTTTCCTTACAATAGGAACTGTGCAGAATCATATGCGAATTGTCCTTTCACGCAGTACGTTTCACACTGGAAACCTGACTCATCACTTCAGGTCACCATAGGGCTGTTCTGTGTCAGACTGGGAGAGTGAAAGAGCTCAACTTCCTCATCCCTTTCAGGGAAGTAAAAACAGTGGGGTTTTTATACTGATTAGATGCCACCTCACTGATATTCTTTTAACTTTTCACCTTTGAAAATCTAAGTATAAAAAAGAGCAGCCAAAAATCACAATGGACTAAAAGAATCCCCTGTCTTTAACTGTAATCTTGTGCAGCTCAACTGACTGCAGTGGGTTTGCTTCTGCTTACACCGATGTCGAGTTTGGAAGGCTCTCTAGAACAGAATAAATCTTTTTGGCCACTTCTATGTAACAGCAAATGGAAGACACATTAAAAAAAGTAACAGGTTCTAATATCCATCAAACAATATCAAACGAGCTAGTCATTCCAAATTTATACAGCAACCCTAAAAACCTACACATCAGTTTAAAGACTTCCCACATTACAAGAGTAATGGAGTCTGTCAGCTGTAGCTGTTCCTGTCTGATGCATGAAGATATTAAGCCATTTCTAGACTGATCTAGGAAACAATTTGCCATTCTTCCTACGAATAGGTGGAGGGAGGAGTAGAGGAGGGGGGGCTCATTTGAGATAATCCCCATTTTGACTCATTTAGTGCATCTGCAGAAGCGTCATATGTTATTTGCTTACTCTACAGTCTCCCTTCTGCACCCATTTTCAAGGTGGTTGCTGATTAAAGCAGGAAGCTTTGAGGGAGACTGGCTGATGATTCTTGTTAAACTGGAATTTCCAAGCCCAGTCTGAAATAAAGAACTTTGTTCCTGCCCTTTTAACGGGCAAATTCCAGCTCTGCCCTCAGGTTCAGAAGTACAGGTACCACCGGCTCACATCTTGCTCTCAGTTACTTCGCATAACCCCTTCCAGTGCAGTGGAAGTTGCCTGCATTCGTGACAGCTAAGCTGGAACATATTATTTTGGGCAGAGCACTTTAAAGTGCACACACAGGAATGTCAGGGTATTGGAGTATATTTTTTTTCCAGCTTGCGCTCAGGAGAAGTTTGTGTCATTGTACCAGATACTCTGATCACAATAGGTCAGAATAGTTTCCACATGCTAAGCACTCCCAGCTTCTGACAACTTCAGTAAGAGTTATTCCAGCTCAGAAAACTATGTCATTAATCTTCTGTTTGTTTGGGGTTTTTTTCTTTCTAATGTAATCTTTCTAAGACTCACTAAATACCTTTGCATTTTATATAGCTTATAAATTAATCTCTTTTACCACAGGAACAACCACTAGACCTTATTGTCTGTGCTAAAACCACGCAGCTAGGCCATAACGCTGTTTACTTGCATAAATAGCTCCATTTCTATCAAACGTTTCAGTATTTGTTAGTCCAGCTGGGAGCAGATGCTTGAAGTGAAGTGTTCTCATCAGCTGCACTCCTGCACTACGACATCCTCTTACTTTGTGCCCTGTCCCAGAGGAACTGATGGATTCAGGAGAGAGCGGTGTTAAAATAGCTGCTATTGAAAGAGCTCAGCAGAATTTAGGAGGAGCTTGGTGGGCAGATGACATGAGCAAGTAAGGCCTGCCAGATCCTCTCTTAAATATCTCCTGCTTCCATTTTATCAGCATAAAGCTTAATATTTCTGCTGAGTTGTTACCAGATATTTGAGTTGGTATCTTGAAAGGGAAATTCTGGCATTGGTTTGTGTATGATCTAATACTTTTAGATTAATGATTACACCTTCCTGGGACTTAGTATGATCACCTAGGAGATGTGTAGATTATTTTTTAGCAGCATTGCAGAACTAGGTTTCTTAGGTGTGGGTAATCTTCTTGGGGATATTCAAAAAGTAGTCGTTGTTTTCTGTGAGGTATTTTCCATACACAGACCTCATTGTTGGGCATTAGGTTCCCCTCCCTCCCCCCCCCATTCAAAAGCACAATAAACTGACCAAATCAGCTGTACTGTTATCAAAAACATCACTTTTTTAAGTGCCATCTTTTGTTAATGGGAGAGGGAAGCTGTAGGAATACTATTGGCCTTTATAATTGCAACAGAAGATAAGGAACTATACAGCCAAACTGCCTGGCATAGTACTCGAGCAAGCAAAAATATCTCCCAGAACATCTCTACTTCCTCTACCTTTATTCTGCATTTTTTTTCCCCAAATGGTCTTTTTACCTCTTCACAATCTCCTTTCTTGATCAAAAAGCTTTTCTTGCCCTTTGAATTGAGACACCTTTCCTGCCTCTCTCTGTGTCTTTCATGCACTTGCACTTGAAAGCATGTTTCCTCACTAGCCTAAACTTCCTCATATCTCCCTTTCTGGAATAATTCTAAATCTGTATCTGTTGTTAAACTCTATGAAAGATTTTTGGATACAGCTTGGATGAATGACACCATATAAAATAAAATGCAATTGTCAACAGATATACCCTTTCTCACACAGTGGCTACAGTGAGAATTTTGACAAAGGAGGGCTGTCCGTGCTTAATTTCAAAAAATCTCCAGACCAGAAAAACAAATCTCAATTATTTCCAGAAATAATAGTAGTAGTTAACATTTGCCCCATTTCTAGATAACCTATGCCAGAAAAATGTGGCGGTCTTCCTCCCCTCCAGTTAATGTTATAGATCTGTTACCATCACCTAAGTGGTTTAAGGAACAGCACTCCCGATTTCACTGCTGGGGCGAAGTTGCCAGTACCCAGGGCAGGATACAACACCTACGCACCATGCTTATGAGCGTGGATCAGATGTTACACACATGCGCCGGTGTTGCGCACAATGGAAATTTCATACAGAATTTGGAGGCAAAGGGGGTGAAGAAAGGAAAGTGCACGAGCATGCACGTGTCTGATAACTGCAATCAGCTAGTATGATTCACAGATACATATAAAACAATACCCTGGCTTTTTCACATTGTGCTAAGCAAAAAGATTTCTCCTCTTGACTTTGCTGGGCGCCAAGATGAGTGGAAGGCAATGCAAGTTGGTAGTTACCCCAGGTGAGCTCCAGGACTTCCTTGCTCCATTGAAACTACAGGAAAATCCCACTGATTCATGGTGGATCAGGATTTTACCCCAGAACAATGGCGGCTCAGCAGAAGTGGCTGAACTGTTGTTAATCAATACTGCAGAAAGTTATTTTTCTTTTGTTCTTCATTCCCCTTCTAATATGTAATTATTTTGGTAATGCAAATCGCCCTCTGTAGGATACACAGTAATTCTGTGAAATGTGTGCAAATTAAACACTTCTGATGTGGAAAAACATCTGCCTCTGAGTCATACTGGTCTGCAGGGCAGCCTAACTTTATAACCTGGTGTCCTAACAGGGCTAATTTTCAAATCTGCATTACCATTTCAATCTATATTGCTTGACTTTTCTTCTTTCAGACCTGGAGATTGCCTAGCTCTTTTTCTTTCCTGACAGCCTCTGAAGTAAGGGAGGGAGGGAAGAAAAAAAGCCGTCTGTGTCTCAGGGGAGCCAGATTCACTAGGAATCATTGCAGGTGACAGTTAAATCTCTTTAGGTTCTTTGCATCACCTGAAATTTGTGATGAAGCTCAGTTTACACACAGGGTTTCCAGAAGATGCTAAAAATGACCCCGTAGGTCTGTGGATTCATTGCTGTTGTGACAGTGTGATGAAAAAGGAGCAAATTGCATCCTTCCAATTGATTTATAAAAAGCAATGGAAATCTGCCCTCTTGCCGAGGCTTGAGAGGCAGTCCCAGGTCTAACTTGTGCTTTGTTTCTACACTGGCCCCTGAATATGGTAAGGAAAAAAAAAGTTTCCATTTAATGCTCCGAGGAACCACTAGCTACATCAGTACAGAAACTCAGATTTTTAGTATGCTGAATTCTTTCATTTCTACATTTCAGGCTTCAGTGAAGGGGGCATAGCAAATTTATGGTACAATTTAACAAAAAAAGCAGGAAGAAAAAATAACATATGTATCTTTTTTTGTGTACTTTAACTAGTCTATAACTGATTGCTAACATCAACAGCTTATCTTGTGACTGCTATGCTGGTTCCCACCCACCCAGTGGTCTACCTTGATTCTTTCCTTGCAGGGATTTCCCAGCTGCTCTGAAGCAGTGGCTGAACCACCATCATGGCAGGCAGGTTACTCTGGTAAACCGGCACCACCTCCACTTTTCCTTAATAAACACACCGTAATTTGTAGGTGGTTCAGTACCTGCTACAGGAACAGTTGAGTCATCCCTGTAAGCCAAGGCATGAACCTCTAAAACAGAAGTGTGGGAATAATTATAGCTCTCCATAGGAAACCATACCTGCCTGTGAATCAGTACCCTGAGGCCCAAGTTTTCTTGCCTTTGCCCAAAGACATGCTGTTGTTTGGCCTTAATCCTGCAAGCTGCTTGTGAAGCTGCACTCCATCCGAGCACAAATTTCACACGGTTAACAGCTTGCAGGCTGAGTGCTTAAATCGGCTGAAAAATTACTAAAAGGATAAGATCAAGTTAACGTACAAGGCCCTTAAAAAACCCTCCAAGTGACTGCCTCTTCTCTGTCTTCTTGAAGGAGGGTTCCTTTGAAGCGTCTCCTCCGTTCTGGATGGAGTCGGTCTCGGCTGCTTGCTGCTCCCTGGCGTCTGGCTGCTCCCTGGTTTCCTGTTTGCTGCCTTTCTGCTTGCTCAGCTCCACTGTAGACTTCTTGTCTTTTGAACTCTCTTTGCTCTTTTGGCCCACAGGTTCACTTTCAGCTGGGGCAACTGGCCTCTCTGTGGAGTTTAATGTCTAAAGCAGTTTCAAACAATGGTTATTTTTAGTGTGAAATGTAAACATTTTGGAAGGCAATCCATAAATACATTAAAAAAAAGGCCACCTGGCAGGGAGAAATCCTGCTGTCCAACAGGTTTTCATTTACAGAGTTTGGGAGGAACTCCTGCAGCCTTGACTTAGGGAAGGACTCCCAGGGAGCCGATAGAATTACTTACATGAGCAAAGACTGCAAGATCAAACCATCCCTGCATAGACTTGCTTTATTTATATATATGTCTATGCTGAAGCTGCTTTAGGAGGCAGAGATCATGCATGGAAAGATGCAGAGAGTCACAAGCATGCACTGCCAACTGAAATTCCCCCAGCTTTTGCATCCCAGGCTGTGAATGCACCCAAAAAGTGCAAGGGAAAGATTTGGGAGAGAAAAGAAGTAAAAGACACCATAAAGCAATGCGTAAAAACAACCCCACTATAAAACTGCAACATTCCACCAAAAAAACAACAACAAAAGGTTTAGCTATGGAAGGCCACAGCATCATAGAAAATTTCACATATAAGAGCAAACAAAGAGATAGCAAATATTCCAAAGACAAACACAATGACAGAGCACGTATTTATAGTAAAGAAAAAGATTCCGAAACTCAGAGAAGTGCAGGAAATGTTTGAAGTTCACAGGAAAAAAATCAGATCTGGCAAACAAAGGATAAGGCAAAAGAAACTGTCACTGTTTGCAGAGTAGCAAATGACTAGATACGTTTTTGCTAGGAGATCTGTTTGCAAATGTGATTTTCTTTTTTCTTATGCAAAAAAATCATATTGCCTTATTTATTAACATAATAATTAAAATAGCACACAAATTTGCCATGTTGAAAAGCTTGAAATCTTACTTCTGCCCTCAGGGCAAAGCCCAGAGCTTAATGCTGTGTAGTTTTTCCAGCTTTGGGGATTTTACCATTAGTCTTGAAATATTTGGTGTTCTTCTAAAGGCCTAGGGTTCTACACTTACATGACAAGCTTAGCTTTCATTAAAAACAAATACATTTTTAGACATTGTGATTTCAGAGAAAAACCTGAAAGCAGAAACTCTAGAGAACAGGATGCAAATATACCTCTCATATATATTTAAAAAAAAACCCTCAAGCCACTCTAATTTTGGGGAAACAAGAATGAGAGGGAGTAGCAATGCCACCACTGGCCTTTTTCACTTGATTCACCTTTCTTACCCACCTAATCTTAAAAAAACCCCCACATTTAAATTATAGAACCTGCAACCATTTAATACATTCAGTCTTTACCAGTTAGCTTAAGTCCTCAACAAAATATGTGCTTGTATTTAACTATTTCCTTTTCCAAAGGACAGACATACATGGGTATCTATTTGCTTACATCTGGATTTGTCTGCTTTTAGACTTAAAAAAATACAATTTGAAGCAGTCTTTGCTCTAGTTCTGCAGGAAATATGTGAAGATAGCACAGAAAATCTGGAGAGGCAGGTGATCAGTAGCCCCATACACCACAGGCAGGCACCATCTGAGTGTCAATAGTTTATTAAAGCAAATTCGATAACCTCAGAGTCCAGGAGAACTGTGGTCTGGGGCTGCACAGACACCACACTACCTGCATCTTGTTCACCTCGCTTGAGAAGAGAGACCTGCTTGGGTGCACTTCTGAGTGCCCAAGTGATGCAGGAGCTCTCCCAGCACAAGGATGAACAGAACTTCATAAACCCAAATTTAATTCTGACTCTTTCTTTCTGACTCATTTTAGCTATCAGATGGGAAGCTCTCACTTGCTGAACCCATCAGTTAGTTTGACAAGATCCATCTTACTCTTATTTGCCTGAGCTTGCTTTTGAAATGTTTCCCTTTGGTACAATTGCAAATATGCACATTCAGTTCAAAAATAACCACAGCCCCCAAAATACAGCTATGAGACTGGATACATCTGAGTTCAAAGGTGCAAGAACAACTTCTAACTTTTATTAACACACTGTGAAATCTGTGGGTTTATTCTGCGGGTGTAAAATTAGACTCGAGTCTTCCTCACCACACGTGTTTGTGTAGGTGCCTCATAGTTACAGTATTGCAGCCAAATCTGAACTGGATGCAACAGGACTGTTTCTGTGAGAAGGTTTGGGCCTTTGATGTTAGTAAAACAAAACACTTAAAAAAATATTCATAATATATTTTCCAGGCAAAATAAGAAAAAAATTCCAATCAGATAATCTCTTTGAGGTGTTTCATATTAACCTTGAAAGGCAGGAAATTGGCATATTTTATATTGATGGGAGCAGCTCAGGAAATACAAAGTGAAGCCTATGAATAATGAAACATGTTAATGTTTCTTATTCTAAAGGGTGATCTGCACCTGACAGATTGCTTTTACTCTCTCAATGTTAACAGTGCCACTGGAGAGAAAAAAAAAAAAAAAAAGATTAACAGGATAGTATTTTCCTTCATCCTGTTACAGGAGACCTTAATCCAAGGCTGCTTTTTAAGCGCAAAAGGCAGACCCCTAAATTTCCGTAGATTTTGGATCAGTGTTGTAATGCATTTCTGTAGCATACAGAATGGCAGTGATGAAAAGTGAAGAAAAATCACAGCATTCCAGAGACGCGACAGCATAATTTAAGGAGATCGTTTCACAGAAATTCTAAAAAAGGAAAAAGTCAACAGCAGATACAGTCTTCCTTGAGCTCTTCTGTGTAATAAAACTGTGCTAATTTACACCAATGCAAGCAAGAGAAGAAGGAAGACTAACTAAAACTGAGTTAAAAAATGGAAGGAAACTGGTTACTAATTAAAATAATAAAATAATAGAAAGTAGATCCAGGACTGTAACTTTTACTCGTTTAACCCAGATCATTTCATAAAGCTGCTGTATGAAATAAGGAATAAAAGTTACAAGACAAGACCTTCTATATTTGGGGTGCTTTTAGAGAAATAACGCATAAAGATTAACCTTAGTATCAAAGGACATCATGAAAACAGGAAGAATGAGAAAATAATTTTACTATTAATTAAAAAAGGAAATAAAAAAGGAAATTCTGAAAGGTCAGTTTTCCATACAACTTCAGTTTTGCTCTCAGGTTAAAGGAAACCCTATGTCTATACACAGAAGCTGCATTTTCTCTCTCATTACTGAATGTAATTATTCTGGACAGCTTGACTTGCAACAGATGAGGGTTTGACCCTCAGAAAAGGTAACAGTATTTGTATTTCTAATGAAAATATGATTTTTCTGAAGCATTTTTAAAGCCATAAAGAATATAATGTAAAGGTGACATCCAAAGTTTTGGTTTAGCTTTTATGAAGACAGAATGAAAGAAACAAAAACAGATTAAGAAAAAAATATTTTCATGGTTTTTGTTAAATTGCAGTGAATGGTTTTCATTCTCACTTTCATGTCTCTTCTACAGAGTTTCCAACTAAATGATCCTTTCCTCAGCAGACAAGTAAATCAACAAAGTAAAAATTATTCTAGCTGTGTGTATTTAGTTTCACTGCCTAAAGTACATGCAGAAAGCCAAGGTACATACAGAAAGTAAAATAATGAGAGAGGAATAAAATTGAACATAAACCCACTAATTATTTTAAGAAAAGGAACACACCTGGAAAAAAACACTTTTTAAAAATCTGATAATGACCCTTTAAAATCCTGTTTAATACCATGAATAGGTAAGATAAATGGATAAGTAAAGAAATATGTAAATATATGAAGCTCAGTGAGCATGTAGCACTTTTGTTCCAGTGATTTTTATATTTCAAAAGCTAGAGTTGTATGAAAGTAGGTGACAACAACCCATCACCAAAAGATGAAAAAATCCAGGCACTTACTTGGTGACTGGGGCTTGGGCCATTTACCTCTTCTGAACTGGTTGTCCCTCCATCACCCTTGACTGACTAAAATAACAAAGGATTATAGGACTTCTAACTGGGTTCCTGTTTAAGGCATTAATTCAATATGAAAACACACATGAATCAAAAAATGCAACGTTTGATTTATGGATACTCTTTACAATACTAAAACAAAACCAGACATTTCAGAAACTCTACCAACATTTTTGAAATACCCACATCTCCTAGGCAGATTTTTGCTGGTTCTTTTCTATGTGAAGTGACTGTCTCTTGCAAGTCAATTTTCTCATTAAGGCCTGAGAAAAATGAACGAGATCGCAGTAGACCAGAGATCATATCAGCCAGTAAACAAGGCAGTGCTATCAGCCCTGCCGCTGTAGTTTTCTAGGAAAGAGCTTTTGCTTGCTTTTCAGAGACAAATCTATCTCCTAAGATCTACTGGGACTTCCTTTCTATTTAATGATCGTACTAAGTGCATATCCCCTGAATAATTAAAATCCACTCAGCTTTATGGATATAGTTTTATATTTTATCATCAGCATCCATTCTTCGCAATTTTTGCTTTCCAGTTTATGCCTTCTCTCTCTATACATCTAAGTAATGGCCCTTCTTGGTGCCCACTCTCCTCAGCCAGGACAATCAGAGCAGACCCTGAGGCTGCAGCACTGGCAGCTCGTTCAGACAAAACCTTGACTCTGAAATACGTTTTTAAGGTACGATCCCCTGTTTCTATCTAGATTTAAAAATGAGAAAAACCTATTTGACAAAGCTAGCTCAATGAAAAAAAGTTACAAGATTTGTGACAATTAGATTAAGGCTTAATTACAATTAGTAATAGAAAAGAAACAAAAGGAATAGTATGTACATGTTTAATTAAAAAGTGTGTTAGAGGGTCCAACGTGGTATTCTCCTGAGTACCATATAAGCCACAGAGCTTAGCAGTAAAGCATAAAATAAACTCCAGAATTTCAAAGTGCCCAAATTTAAATGTCATTTTTCATTGCGTAAGTTCAATGAAAACAATGAAAGGATGTGACTTTTGTTCTAAAGATAGATCAGGCGATTCGTGGTTTTCTGCAGCTTGTAGATTTGTTACTTGAAGCACAACAGTATCAGCTTGATCCCATGTATGGTGTTATTGCAAGGACCTATTTCAGTCTCTGATTTTCCTATAAAACCACAGAAAATCAATATGTAGCAGCAGCGTGATAGAAAGCGAAACCACTCCGTAACAATTCATTACTTGTCAAGAAATGTGGGAAAAATACTCTTTCTGGAACATGCTGCTGCTCAGCCTTTTGCATGTTTATGCTCGTGACTTTCTATCAGTGTAAGAGGTTGCAGAAATGGAGGGGAGGAAGCACCGCGTGGTCTGTCTTAACATGACAGGATAGAAACTCAGTCCACAGTGTATGAAGATGTATTGTGATAAGATCTAGTTTGCATTTCTATTTCAGCAAGTCTTTAAATGCCTTCAGGAAAAAAAAAAGTTTATGCTACAACAGCAACCACTTTGTTACCTTTTTTCCCCTAAAAAAAACCCCAAAACCAACCCCCCCCCCAAAAAAAAAAAAAAAAAAAAAAAAAAACAAAACAAAACCAACAACAAGAAAAAGCCCTGGTTTAGCCAAACTTTAGTAATCCATCTCTTTTTTTTTTTTTTTACCAGACCATAAATAAAGACCTTGAGGTCTTTGCCTAGACAAAGTTCCCTCTTGCCTTCAGTGAAACGTATACATCACGATCACAAGGGTTTCTCTCTAGAGCACTGTTGACCGCTTACCCTTGCCTTTGGTCATTTAGGATTGCTGCTGCTGAAAGCTTCCTGCAGGGGTTTTCTGTGGCAGTAAGGGTGGATCAGCATATCTTTAAATGGAGGAGGGTGGGGACAGGCAATAGACTTGCTACATTTTCATGAATAATCATGGAAAATTAAGGTGGGACAACATAAAATAGTTATTCTTGATTCCAAATGCTATTTATTACATAGAAGTTTATTTACGTGGGGAAGCAGGCCAGTACAGGCACTGCAGAGAATTTGGAAATCATCTTTTTTAATTATTCCAGAAATACATATTCTCCTTGGGAGCATCTTCGATTAATCCAGAAATAGGACATTTTATTTGCAGAGACCATACTCAACCCTATCTCCGACCAACCGTACTGCCAGTCAGCTTCCCCACTGAGGACAAAGGCTACAGCCTCAGTTTACAGTTGGTAATTCTGCTCATTCTGATTTAAAAAAAGCCATTTTACACCCTTATCTCCACAAAATATCTCAAAACAGACATTTTGAAAGGATTTATCTTACCTAGCTCTGCATCTGTTTATATTCTATGGAGAAAAGTAGGAACTTTGAAGGCTCACATCATCACAGATCCTAAGGGGCTCTCAGACCTGATCACCACTATTCAGTGGTTTTAAAGGGAGCCTGGAGTGACTAGCTCAGGTGTAGCCACCTCTGTCAAGACATCTGCATTGGGTCTGATGTATCCCACCACGTAAATAACAACAGAGCTATTTGATTTTGATTAATGAGGCTGAGTGTCTTTCAACTGGAAGCACAGGATTTCACATTCATGTAGATGTGGCTTAGTTTGATAAAAAAGCAGTGGTATTTCTTTATCTCTTATTGAATCACAGGGCTTTAAACTAATATTTTATATCTTTTTATAATTTCCCCAATAGCTTTTATAGCACTAGTTAACACTCTCCCATTTTAACCACAGCAATGACTTTTGTGACCTTTGCAATTGCAAACAATTTGTGACAAATGAGACATCTGTACTTAGCAAGTCAGCAGGCAGTCTTCGAAATACACACTGCCTTTTCCAGAGCAAATCGCTCCTAGTTCTAGCAATGGCTCTCCTTGTGTCAACAGTGGTAACTATAGTGCTATGGATCTAAATGTCTACTTCCTATCAGCCTGTGCTTGTGCTCTGTGAGCACAATACATCAAAACTGAGGCACATGGAGAACAACTGACTTGCATATCTGAGACTCAGGACAGACTTAAGTAGAACTAAGCTTAATTTCTGAGTCCCAGTCTTGACTCCTAAGAAGAAGATAAGATGCCTTTTCTTAGGCACCTGTGTGGTTGACCTGTGTAACATAACCATGGATGTTAACAGAATACCTTGGGATCATCTTCTGCAGGCAGAAGAGAAACCCAGTAGACAATCATATTAAAGTAAAATTAAAAGTCAATCTCTTTCAGCAGCCAGAGCAATAATCCACCTATTGCCAGAATGGAGACTAAACAATCAAGTGTATCTGTAAACAGGAGCCTGGGTTTTATTGAGGAAATCCTGCCACATTCCTTCCCACTGCCAAGCACTGTTTGTTTCAGAGACCATAAGTACCCGTGCTTGTAAAGATCCTATCTTATAAGAATTCATGGCTTGCTCCATCTGCAGCAAGGCAGGAGTGCTCCAAGAGGACCTGCTGGATGAGTCAGTGACCAGCATCACATGGATGGCACGGTTTGTACAGGCTCTGATGCCACTTCAAGGCATTTCCCACACCTCCAGGAGCCTCCTGCCCCCGTGTCACCTCTGGGAGGTGGAACACCACAAACTACATTTAGGCATTGGCTGAGGTTTGTCCAGATTTGCAAGTAAAATAGATTGAACAGATGCAACCACATGAAGACATCATTTCCCCAGTGCTTCAGGTAAGAGGAGTTAAGGATTGAGTTCCTCACACAGGTAGAAAGCACAAAGGGATGGTCTGATGGCAGGCCCTTTGCTGTGCTCCTCAAATGTACCTTCATAGAATCATAGAATTATTAAGGTTGGAAAAGACCCTTAAGATCATTGAGTCCAACCGTTAACCTATCTCTGCCAAGTCCACCACTAAACCATGCTGTAGCCAGAGCTGCAGTGTAAATTCTCATATGTTTGAGTTAGTTTTAAATTAACTAGCATTAGTATGAACAGCAGACTAATGACATTAGCATGAGGACTGAAGAGGCTGCAAATGGCAGCCCCCCAAAACGTGCAAATTACTCTGCTCTGAGCTCCACGGTGCCAGAATTACGCTGCTACCAGGACATGAGCTAGCTACTGCAAAGCTGGCTCAGGAATTCCTCCACTTTATGGCTATTACTGTAGGGTAGCAAGACCTCAAGAGAAAACTACAGTGGAAATGATACCTTCCAATACACAGTCTACCAGTATAGCTATTCTGAGCAAAAGGGCCCTATTAGACATCTCTACCATACTCACCTCTCAGCCCCACAGCACTGGAGCTTCCCTCACTTTTCCTTGTGAGAAAATCAAGTCCGTGCTGGAGTCTTAAACCCTTCATGCATTTTCAGCACTCACCACTAGTTCAAAAGCTTTACAGAAGCTAGTTGTTTAGCAGCGGCTTAAAATCCTTCTGTCTGCCTAAGGAACCACAAATACTGATTGATCCATTGGCACGAAGCTGTAGGGCAGCTACATAGCTCCGATTGCGTGCAACAGCATGGCAGTGACCCAGTAATCCAAAAGTTATTCAGAGGAAACAGCCTGAGACATACTTCAAGGACAATAAATATATTAAAGTGATCCACGATCTGTTTGGAAATTGATAGGCAAGAGTAGAGCAGATGAATACTAAAGGTTTCAGCTGCAAAACCAGTTACACAGTTAACACAATTCTGTTTCCCACGTGGGTGGGTGTTTGCCTACACACTAGTTCTGTCTTTCTAGGCCAACATCTGGATTAAGCCCCTGCTCTGATTAGAGCAGCGTTATATCTACTGCTCTTAACATAGCTCTGTTTTCTTCCACAGCGACTAAGATAGGTGTGGAACAGCTTTATTTTTTAATCAGTGCTATTTTTTTTGGTAGGGTGACATGATTTGAAGTCATGGTTGCCACAGATGTCAGTGTTTGATACGCGTTGCTCCTGAGTCACCTGCATGCCTAGCGTGTGCCATGGTGACGAGCCTCTATGCAGGATGACCACAAGTCCCCTTGGATTTAGGAATAAAGTTGAGATTTTTCCAAACGAACTAATTTTGTACAGTGTTATTTGGAATTAAAGGCACCTTGGCTACACAATTCTTGGCTGATATTAAGAATTTTAGCTTAGATTCTCAAACATACGAGAGTAGCTATGTAGTAAAGTAGCTCTGAAGAAGAAAAAGTAAATGCACCCATCACAGTTTGGGCTGAGGCTAATAAAAAACTGAAAATAAAAGAAACATCGTAATCTTTTGGAAATAAAAAATAAATCAGGATATGGAGTGTTGCTTGTACCTTCTAGGGTCTGACTCACAAAGTTTAACTGTTGGCAGTGACTGTTGACAGCTGTATGTACCAGCACGTACCTGAAAGCAGCCAGTTCAGACCACCTGGGCTATTCATTACGTTGTGATATAAGAAACGTTTATCATATTTTAACGTAGAAGCTACTCTAACACACACACACCATGTAGCTGCTTGAAAATAAAACAGTATTGATTAAAAATAGAACTCTTTCATACACATTTGCAAACCTTGCCAAAATAGATCAATTGCTATATAAATCCTCAAGGCCTGCTATAATTTTAATCAGAAAAGCATTAGTTCTAGACTTAGATTATTTTCCCGGCCACTTTTCTAGGCTCTCTTGAGGAACAGTGTCTGGCTGTTGTTTGTACACAAATCCATCAGGATAGCCCTTCGCACCTATGACCACAAGACGATACCAGCCACATCACCACCTCACCGGTTTCCTTCTTCCCCCCAGTCATCTTCTGGGAAGGAGGATTAGATTCTACTTCGCGCCTTTCTTTTTTCCATCTAATGGATAGCATCTTGGAAGCAACAATTTTACGTGTAACCTACATAAGCTGCCAAAAAAAGTTTCACTACTCAAAATAGGACTCTCCCTGAAGCAAGCACAGGACTTAACGGTGCAGCGCAGGGGCGCTGGACACTGCCGTCGCCAGGAGTAGGCGGTTTCCTCCAGGAGCATCTGCCCAGGTCTCGCATCGCCCGCTGGAAGCGCTTTGCGGAGCTGAAGGCTTCCTCGGCGGCCATCAATGGCGAACGCGGGGCCGGGCCCCCCG